GTGTACAGTGTACACACCTATGCTACTATTATGACCCCGTTACGTGTTTCTCAATACTAAACACTATAATGGGTAATGGATATAATTCCCAAGAAATTTAGGAGAACAACATACATCAAGTGATGCCCTATAATACAAACAAAGAAAGAGAAAATTCAAAACTCAAAGTTTAAACAAGCCAATAGACAACAAGGAAACAACGAGGTGAACTTATCTACCAATTTGAAAGTGTATATTCTAAACTTCATAAGTGAATATAGCCACGAAACCAACCAGGTTCAATATGCAGGGGAAATGCGCTACATCCATGACAAAGGAACCATCAGTTTTACTGCTAGGACACTGACTTGTATCAGGGAGCAGTTGAACCGTGAAATACGACGAAAAACGTAGTTATAAATTAAAATAGACCAATATATTCTGTCGTAATACCGAGTAGCAAGCAGCTGCTTCTATAGATCTTGTCGCTCTTGGTATTGCCCATAGCTCATCTTGATTATTTCCCATGGTGATGAAGAAGCTACCAATGCGTTCCCACCACCGCTGCTGCCTGCTCTCTCCCAGCCGGCAGAAGGGCATTTCTGGCTGGCCCCTTCAACCTAAGTCTTTCTATGTCCTCACAACTACTCCTTGATTGATAGACAGCAGCGGCTCTTCTTGCCCTGTACTCGGACCGGATTATTTCCCATGGTGATGAAGAAGCTACCAATCCGTTCCCACCACCGCTGCTGCCTGCTCTCTCCCAGCCTGCAGAAGCGCATTTCTGGCTGGGCCCTTCAACCTAAGTCTCTCTATGTCCTCACAACTACTCCTTGATTGATAGCAGCTCTTCTTGCCCAGGACCCGGACCGGCCACCGCAGGCAAGAGTACTAGAATCGTAGACTAAGTCCTCTTGATAGTCAATTAGGGTTTAGGGCTTAGGACCTCGACAGTTTCATCGTTGTAGTGAGCAGATAGGTAAGTAAGGGAGAAGGTCCGAGCGAGACCGTCCTGGGCCCATGTTACAGAGTGCAAACTTAAACCGCCAGTACTTTGCCGGGTTGGCCCAGCTATCGGCCGCGGAAAAAAATAGAGTAGAAACGTTTCTAGTTGGATGAATTTGGGCGCTTCTGTAGTGGGCCGTACATTTCCTAAAACCGCGTAGCGTTAACGGGCACTACTTTAGGAAGTACTGGTGGTTTAAGGCACTCCCTCTCCACTCAAGGAGCGGTAACCGTTCAGACATGGACAGCCGCGACTCGACATCATGATAGCTTGGCTATGCATCAACTTCTAGATGAAGCTCGGGCGCTTGGCATTCTTCGTAACGCGTGTATAATGGCCCAACCCACGGTCCTAACAGATGCCATTGGGCGGCGGCTGGCAGGAAGCGCTAAGTCACCGCTAACACGATCCCATATTGGCGCTGACTTAGCGCAGAGCTGCGCTACGGGCCGCTCGCAGGCTCACCTCAAAATGATTTTTCTCCGAGAGACGAGGAGGAAATCATTTCTTTTCCAAGTCAGGGAGAAAAAAAAACAATGGGTGGGGAGGGGTATGCGGGGGCCAGGTTCCACTACCGTCTTCCCCCGAACACAGCGCACCCTTATTTTGGCTGTATCTGGCCAGAAATATAGCTTAGATACAATCATTTTTAGGGTGCGTTATGTTCGGGGGAAGACGGTAGCAAAGAGGATTGAATTAAACACCTGCATCTTGTCGTGTTTGTGAAGAGGTACGGAAAGCTGCTATTTATAGGATTTTCTGCATCTCCGGTTAAAGCACGTCCAGATTTAGGCACTTTGTCTGATGACTCTGATCCTCTCTGACTGGTGGGACCTTGCCCCAGGGTGATTGAGGCATCTTGTGCTACAGTCTTCACCCGAATAGAATGCCCGGTCATTATAGCTGTATTTGGGCCAAATTTTAGTCCAGGTGCAGCGATAATGACCGGGCGTTCTATTCGGGTGAAGACGGTAGTACTCAGTTGTATCTTGTGTGATGCTGTGGTATGACGGTATCCCTGAGTTCTGTTTTTCCTTTGCTCATCGTTTGCATGCGCTATAGAGTGGTTTTATTGAATTTATTCCTGAATCTTTCATCAGATTATCTGTGCTCATGCAAAAACTGTATTGCCGTACACTGCGTACAGTCTTTTACTTCTTTTCGCTCCATGAGAGAGCTCACCCCAAAATCCCCATCCTCTCCATGTGTCTCCTGACCCTTCGAATTTTTTGGGTAAGTTCCAAAAATAGCGCGTTTGCCGTAATTTCAAAGTAAAAATAGTGGCGCGGTCTCAAGTTTCATAGAAACAACTATCCGTGAATATAACAAGGCCGCCTTGCTAGAGGCTTGTTTTCGCGAAACTGTTTGTGACGAATTTCGCTTTTCAAAACTGCGAAAACATCAGTCAAAACTAGTTCAACAAAGCATTTTAAAAAAACAAAACAAAAAAAAACAAAAAAAAAAACAAAGCATTTTATTACTGAAAGATGGGGAACAACTGATATGACAAATTTTGCACAGAGATGGCTGTTGGCGTGCATATATCGAAGTAGCCAGCCTCCTTGAACATCTCTCATAATATGTTCTACACCGCAGAAAGCTAATCTATTGGCAATGCGAAAACACATCTTTCGTTGCAGCTTCACAGGTCCCTGTAGCAGTTTCACAGCAAAAAAAGTATTTGCGGGCGGGGTCCCACTTCCGTTGGAAAAATACACCTTTCAGACCCCGACAACATTTCCACTGGGAAACTTGGAAAACACGTTATTTCTGCAATAACCCCTTGAATTTTCAAAAGATTAAATAATCCAGTGGCACACCACCTGGCAGCACAAAGCTGGATGGGCAGAAGGCCCAGTGCACGGTCTGCATGGAGACACAATTCACGTCCTGGCTCACTCCTACAGGCACTTCAAAGCAATTTTGAAATTTGACTGCCTCATCTAGGCAAGTTGCCCTTTTCCTTTAAAAAAGTATTACATTTATAAAGAAGCTCCAATCTATTCGTGTGGAGCAGCACGTGCTGGAAACCGAGCCCAGCATCCCTTATGAAATTACATTAAGGGGTAACTTCAGTAGACTCTGAGTCACAAAAAATGCGTTATAGTTGCACTATGGGGCAAGATACAGTTTGCAATTGCACTTCGGGCACCCTACCTGGCCAGAAAGCTGGGTTGTATACATTGCCCAAACTGCAATTTGAAACTGTATCCTGGCCCGTAGTGCAATTATAACTCAATTTTTGTGACTACCACGTAGTTTCCCCTTGCATTAAATATTTGAAAAGTGTTTGATGATACTTTTTTTTGTTTTCTATATTCTTCTCTCAACTTCTGTTTTTGCCTTTCACTACCTACTCCTAAGGCTATCTAGAGGGGACCCCTGCAAGCATAGTTTCCTCTCACTGTGAAGGGGAGATTTCATGTTGCCCCTTGCCCCTAATGTTTAGGGTATAGGGTTGGGGCCGCCAGTGGGGGTCTGGCTAACACAAAGACCGAGACCTGCCAGTAGCTGCGCCTGATACTTTTGCTTGTCAATGTTCTAAACTTTCACTTTAAATTTTCAAATTTGACAACCATTTTGGAATCTGACTGACTCATCATCACTCATGTGCTCCAAAGATACGAACTTTAAGTCTTTGCGATGAGTTATTGAAAGAGATTTTGCTCCTATGGAGTCGTTATCCTGACCATATTAATTGAATTTAATTCTTGATGAATCTGACCTGTAAAGCTGTCTTCTTGATGACGTCTAGAGTTGTAACACATGGCACTTTGTACACCTCCGAAAGATAAGCGGCTAATGTTGATTTGCCGGAGGCCGGACTTCCGAGTATGATTACTCTCAAAGGCGCCAGCTTGTGATGTACTGCATACTCTTTAGCAATCTTATCCATATTTGATATCATCCCTCCCTGACAGGTGGCAACCATCGATCGATCAACCAATGGCGTAGAAGACATAGTTATTGGACATATCAAACAAACTACTTGCACAAGAAGTATCTCCAAAATTTTAGAACAAAATCATAACTTTATCAAATCTATCGATCTATTTTGCAACAAATTGACGAATGCACTTAATATGTGAAAGGAGCTCGCATCAGTTATTTGTTCCAAACAGTGGACCAGGTGCAGAGATTGCAAAGACTGAATGCAAATAATACTATTTTAAGCCTGTGCTGTGACAATCTTCCCCCTAATAGAAAGCACCGTCACTATAGCAGTGTCTTTGGGAAACTTTCAGCCAAGAAATACAGCGCTAAAAAAGTGACCTTGCTTTCTATTCGGTGAAGATGGTGGTAACAATACAATAAAGCGCAAAGTGAGTTTTTTTTAATGGTATTTGTAGATGTGACATGTGGCACTCCATCTTAGAGAAAACAAAGCTCAAAGTGAGCCTTTTTATGGTCTTTCTAGTTGTAGCATGCGGCACTCTGACAATATGTCTTAGAAAGATAAGCAGCTAGTAATGTTGATTTGCTGGATGTGGGACTTCCCAGACTGCGGGGTGAATCTCCCTTGCGCCATTCTCATGTGTCAGCAGGACCATTTCTTCTCTCTCTCTCTCTCTCTCTCTCTCTCTCTCTCTCTCTC